CAGAAAATGGAACCGTCAAAGGACGCCAACATTTGGGCGGGAATGTGACGTTGAAAAGAAAAACTCTTAGGCCTTTGAGCACCGGTGATTTCTGTAGCTCGCTCTCTCCCTCACCCGTCACCAGGTGTCTCAACCCGGACACGGACACGGACACGGACACGGACACGGACACACACACACACACACACACACACACACACACACACACACACACACACACACACACACACACACAAAGTCCTCGCAGGCGAGCGGACAGCGCACTGGGGTCGGATCCCTAAGGTCTCAAGTTCAACTCCCGTTCGAAGTGGAAACGAATGAACATTCTTTCACTTGATGCCCCTTTTCACCTAGCAGTAAAATAGTTACCTGGGAGTTAGACAGCTGCTATGGGCTACATCCTGGGAATGCATGTGCTTGACTTTGAAACAAATATATATAATATATATGATGTGAGGAAAATAGGTCGGGAGTCAGTACAACCGACGGTTAGACCGCCGGGGTCCAAGAGCTAACACCTCAATACTGCAGACAGTCACAGTCTGAGAGGGAGAAGTTGGACTGGGGTAACACCTAGTCCCCCCCCCCCTCCAGAACTGACCTTGGGCTCATTCTATGGGCCCTAAGGCTCTAATTAGAGCCTATGTGAAGGCTCTATTCACGGGGGCAGAGCCCTACTTATAAATTTTGTTGCGGATTAAGTGAGAATTGTGTGTCCGGTGCGGGAGTGTAGAATACTCCAAGAACGATTAGCCAGGCTGCACTCTGTGTCCAGGAAATGGCTAATAGATTTGAATAACAACATGTGTAAGGTTATGATAATGGGACAGGGAACACCCAGAAGAATGGTACGCAATGTAGGACAATCCTGACAGTTAAACTAACGCGTGAGATCCTCGGAGGCGTCAACACAGTGTTCTATGACCATGGGTGTGATAACTGTGTGACCTTCCAACACTGTGTCGCACACCAATCAGTGATTTAATTATGTAAATAATTCTGACGTTCCAGTAATTTTCATGCATAGATTATGACTGGCTGGTTGGCGCTCTCTCTCTCTCTCTCTTCTCTCTCTGTCTCCTCTGTCTGGCTCCTCTCTGTCTCTCCCTGTCTCACCCTGTCTCTCCCTGTCTCACCCTGTCTCTCCCTGTCTCTCCCTGTCTCTCCCTGTCTCTCCCTGTCTCACCCTGTCTCACCCTGTCTCACCCTGTCTCACCCTGTCTCACCCTGTCTCACCCTGTCTCACCCTGTCTCACCCTGTCTCACCCTGTCTCTCCCTGTCTCTCCCTGTCTCACCCTGTCTCACCCTGTCTCACCCTGTCTCTCCCTGTCTCTCCCTGTCTCTCCCTGTCTCTCCCTGTCTCTTCCTCTCTGCAGTGTTTGCATCAGAGGGAGCCGCTGCCTACCCTAAGGTGGTCCCAGCAATTTACACATTTTACTGTATTCGTAACACCAGTAAAGATCTTTGTGTGTATATCCTCTTCAATATCTCCCTTGCCTTAGACGGGGGTGAGCAGAGGGTGAAACCCCAGACGAGAGAGCACCAGTAAGCACATAACAGTACTCCAGTACCATCATTGTGGAGCACTACCATTGTGAAGTACTATCCTTCAGGAGTAATAGTAGGCATCCATCAGTCTCAGGAGACTATGGAGTTGCGCTCTGGTTGTCGGTCTGAAGTGGCTTCTCCAGGGCGCAAAGCCAGGGTAGGTAGATACGGAGGGAGAAGGTGTTACCCATGCAGCAAGTCCACCCACCCCCTCTCAACGGCGCCGTGGAGTACTATCATTATAAAGTACGACCACTGTGGAGTACTATCATTGTAATCATTGATCTGGTATACTTAATGTCCTACGTTCTCATAAGCCACTATACTATTTCTTCCGTGTATAAAGTACACATGCTTCACTTCTCCCCACTAAACGTTAGGTCCATTTGCAATAATTTTTAGATTATTTTAGACTTAGATCTACGATAGGTGTAGGCGTTTAGACCACAGGTGCCACCAGAACAACACACTACACCACAGGTGCCACCAGAACAACACACTACACCACAGGTGCCACCAGTACAACAAGCTACACCACAGGTGCCACCAGAACAACACTACACCACAGGTGCCACCAGTACAACACACTACACCACAGGTGCCACCAGTACAACAAGCTACACCACAGGTGCCACCAGAACAACACACTACACCACAGGTGCCACCAGAACAACAAGCTACACCACAGGTGCCACCAGTACAACACTACACCACAGGTGCCACCAGTACAACACACTACACCACTGGTGCCACCAGTACAACACACTACACCACAGGTGCCACCAGTACAACAAGCTACACCACAGGTGCCACCAGTACAACAAGCTACACCACAGGTGCCACCAGAACAACAAGCTACACCACAGGTGCCACCAGTACAACAAGCTACACCACAGGTGCCACCAGTACAACAAGCTACACCACAGGTGCCACCAGTACAACAAGCTACACCACAGGTGCCACCAGTACAACAAGCTACACCACAGGTGCCACCAGTACAACAAGCTACACCACAGGTGCCACCAGTACAACAAGCTACACCACAGGTGCCACCAGTACAACACACTACACCACAGGTGCCACCAGTACAACACTACACCACAGGTGCCACCAGTACAACACTACACCACAGGTGCCACCAGTACAACAAGCTACACCACAGGTGCCACCAGTACAACACTACACCACAGGTGCCACCAGTACAACAAGCTACACCACAGGTGCCACCAGAACAACAAGCTACACCACAGGTGCCACCAGAACAACACTACACCACAGGTGCCACCAGTACAACACTACACCACAGGTGCCACCAGAACAACAAGCTACACCACAGGTGCCACCAGTACAACAAGCTACACCACAGGTGCCACCAGTACAACAAGCTACACCACAGGTGCCACCAGTACAACAAGCTACACCACAGGTGCCACCAGAACAACAAGCTACACCACAGGTGCCACCAGTACAACAAGCTACACCACAGGTGCCACCAGAACAACAAGCTACACCACAGGTGCCACCAGTACAACACGCTACACCACAGGTGCCACCAGTACAACAAGCTACACCACAGGTGCCACCAGTACAACAAGCTACACCACAGGTGCCACCAGTACAACAAGCTACACCACAGGTGCCACCAGAACAACAAGCTACACCACAGGTGCCACCAGTACAACAAGCTACACCACAGGTGCCACCAGTACAACAAGCTACACCACAGGTGCCACCAGTACAACAAGCTACACCACAGGTGCCACCAGTACAACAAGCTACACCACAGGTGCCACCAGAACAACAAGCTACACCACAGGTGCCACCAGTACAACACGCTACACCACAGGTGCCACCAGTACAACAAGCTACACCACAGGTGCCACCAGAACAACACTACACCACAGGTGCCACCAGTACAACAAGCTACACCACAGGTGCCACCAGTACAACAAGCTACACCACAGGTGCCACCAGTACAACAAGCTACACCACAGGTGCCACCAGTACAACAAGCTACACCACAGGTGCCACCAGTACAACAAGCTACACCACAGGTGCCACCAGAACAACACTACACCACTGGGGGGGAGGGGGGACAATGCCTCTACCACTGCCACGTAGTTAAGGTCCCAACAACCCTCTCGCGAGTTTAATTGTACGATAAACAAGGCGAGAAGAGATTTAATGGACCCAAACTACGGTTTGGCAAGGTCAGGTCAGACAGCCTGATATGGCAAGGTCGGGTCTGACAGCCTGATATGGCAAGGTCGGGTCTGACAGCCTGATATGGCAAGGTCGGGTCAGACAGCCTGATATGGCAAGGTCGGGTCAGACAGCCTGATATGGCAAGGTCGGGTCTGACAGCCTGATATGGCAAGGTCAGGTCAGACAGCCTGGTATGGCAAGGTCTGGTCTGACAGCCTGATATGGCAAGGTCGGGTCTGACAGCCTGATATGGCAAGGTCGGGTCTGACAGCCTGATATGGCAAGGTCGGGTCTGACAGCCTGATATGGCAAGGTCGGGTCTGACAGCCTGATATGGCAAGGTCGGGTCTGACAGCCTGATATGGCAAGGTCGGGTCTGACAGCCTGATATGGCAAGGTCGGGTCTGACAGCCTGATATGGCAAGGTCGGGTCTGACAGCCTGATATGGCAAGGTCGGGTCTGACAGCCTGATATGGCAAGGTCGGGTCTGACAGCCTGATATGGCAAGGTCGGGTCTGACAGCCTGATATGGCAAGGTCGGGTCTGACAGCCTGGCCTGATATGGCAAGGTCGGGTCTGACAGCCAGGCTAGATATGACAAGGTCAGCTAATCAGCCAAATAAGACCAGGTCACGGAAGGTAATCAGACCCTTACTGACCTTAGGTCAATAAGGGTCATCAGGAGCCGTAGATCACCAGCAAAAGTTCCTGTGAAGGACAGCTAAACTGCCCACTGGGATGACTACCTTTGTTCCCAACTCCTTACCCAACCACTTGGGGTGGACGGTAGAGTGACGGTCTCGCTTCATGTAGGTCGGCGTTCAATTCCCGACCGTCCAAGTGGGTTGGGCACCATTCCTCTCCCCCCGTCCCATCCCAAATCCTTATCCTGACCCCTGTACTAAGTGGTATATAGTCGTAATGGCTTGGTGCTTTACCCTAAATTACCTTTACTCCATTTAAATTACACATTACATTTTCCCTACTACTCCTTACAAGTCAATGTTATCAATACATTTATTAAAACCACTTCAAGATGAATCCTTCCCTTATCTCTCCACCTTTATCTTCTCCTTACCTTATCCTTCCCACTATGTATAATCTACATTCCTTTATCCCCTATCCACCCTCCTCTCTATCCTAACTCCCCCTCCCTCTCCACACCTTTCTATCACCCTCCCCTCTCTACCATCCTATTCTCCCCTCACTCCTCACTCCCTACCTTGCGTTCCCTGCCTACTTATCCTAATCTCGCACTCGGCAAAGGGGCTCCACGAACCTCAAATTCAAATTACGCAGCTTTATGATCCTGGAAGTGTTGGGGACGACTCCAGAGCCGAGGTAAGAGCGGATACAAGGGCGGGGGTTCCAGAACCGTCGGGCAGGGGTTCCAGGACCGTCGGGCGGGGGCTCCAAGACCGTCGGGCGGGGGCTCCAGGACCGTCGGGCGGGGGCTCCAGGACCGTCGGGCGGGGGCTCCAGGACCGTCGGGCGGGGGCTCCAGGACCGTCGGGCGGGGGCTCCAGGACCGTCGGGCGGGGGCTCCAGGACCGTCGGGCGGGGGCTCCAGGACCGTCGGGCGGGGGTTCCAGGACCGTCGGGCGGGGGCTCCAGGACCGTCGGGCGGGGGCTCCAGGACCGTCGGGCGGGGGCTCCAGGACCGTCGGGCGGGGGCTCCAGGACCGTCGGGCGGGGGCTCCAGGACCGTCGGGCGGGGGCTCCAGGACCGTCGGGCGGGGTCTCCAGGACCGTCGGGCGGGGTCTCCAGGACCGTCGGGCGGGGACTCCAGGACCGTCGGGCGGGGTCTCCAGGACCGTCGGGCGGGGTCTCCAGGACCGTCGGGCGGGGTCTCCAGGACCGTCGGGCGGGGGCTCCAGGACCGTCGGGCGGGGGCTCCAGGACCGTCGGCCGGGGGCTCCAGGACCGTCGGGCGGGGGCTCCACGTCCTTCCCAGCCCTCATATTGCAGGGGAGCTAAATACTATCCAATATCCTTCCCCACAGCTCCTCATCTAGGTGTCCTACCCATATATTTCCCTATCCACGACCTCCTGACAAGACCTAGCCCGCCCCCATCTCCAATCTCCTGCCCCGACCACAAAAGCCTCTTGGCTGCCACCACAGTCTCAAAATTCTGAGTTTCAGGGCATGGGGTGGTCCGGGGAGGGCCATTATGCCGCACGACTAGACCACGGACCACGCTCCAGGGACCATGGTCTGCTCACGCACCAAAATGTCCATTCTCTGACCGCCAACTGGGGAAAAAAAAAACATGCATTTCTTCTCAGTTGCAAATGATGAATGACGAGTTTCTTTTGTTTAATGTAATTTCTACATGTAAATTTTGGAGACTGAAGGCCATTTTAAATTCAAATGCTCATATATTATATATATAGGGAAAACTCTTCCTCATGAAAGGGTTCGGATCTTGGACTCCCAGGAGCTGAAACCCCGCTGGCGAGCACAGAACTCCGACCACCTGACCACACTGACTGTACAAAAGTCACTCTTAGTCGAGGCTATATCCCCAACGACCCGACAGCACTTGGTGGTCACAGATCACAGTTCATTTTCATCAAACCAATTCACTTATCTAATGAAAACGCTTCAAATGTACGACCTAATACAATAATACGACCTTAGGAGTTTTCCTAATACAATTAACTTTAAGATCAAGATCATCTGCGCTTGAGTAATGTACCTTCAACTTTCCTTTTTTTTCTTAATTACAAGTTCTCTAGGAACTTATAGGAAGTTTACTGATACAATTTCATACACCAGAATTCATTAGGAGTACAATATATAAACAAATCCACAAGGGCCGTGACGAAGATTCGAACCTGCGCCCGAGAGCATCCCAGACGCTGCCTTAATCGACTGAGCTACGACATGGTCAAAAAGGAGTTGAAACCGTTCTACTGAACTTATTGGATCCTGCAGCCTCTCCGAGGCACAAACCAGGGTTCATTTGATGCATCACGCAATTGTGATTTCTGTGTAAAATATATATACATATGAATAAGTTACTTTACATTTGTATTACACAGTGAAGTGACAGTGAAAGAAATAATTTGAAGACGAGCCTGGAACTGTTAAATGATTTTGAAGATTGCTGAATAAGACTGTGCTGAACCAACCAATGTCAGGAATAAGAACCAATTGACATGCGACAAGCGAGAGCAAAGACTACTACTTCGCTCAGCAACATAGTAATAAAATGTATTCATTTTCATTAATCATTAATCATCATTAATTACAACGGCAATCATCATAACGATTACAACAGCAAAATCAATTCAGTATTAAAACCAGATAACGACCCCTTCTGTAAATACAAGGAAAACAGCGTCGTCTTAAAGATTTTAAACATGGCGGTCAAGGGCAGCTTCCGTCAAATTACGAGCCGAGCTTAGCGAAATATGTTAAGAATTCTCATAAGGTGGGTGTGGCGGAGGCCGGAATACCGACCCAGCGACGCTTCTATTGAGGAAATATTAATTGGTGAACTTCTCGAGCGGTATAATATTTTATTTGTGTGATATATCAAGAGTGTAATAGTGCTTTACTTTCTAGGTAAATCAGTAGAGGCGGCGGCGGAAGGGGAGGAGGAGGAGGGTTGGTAGTGGTGGTTTGGGGAAGAGAAGCAGGGGTGAGGAAAAAGGGGAGAAGAGGTGAAGCGAGGAATCAGAAGGGATGAGAAGGAAGTAGAGAGGGAAGGAAAGAGGGAGGGAAGTGAAGGAAGAGGAAGAGGTGTAGACAAACACCCATAACACACACACACCAACAGCACAACACACACACACACACACACACCAACAGCACAACACACACACACACACACACACACACACACACACCCACACACACACACACACCAACAGCACAACACACACACACCAACAGCACAACACACACACCACACACACACACACACACACACACCCACACACCCACACACACACAACACACCAACAGCACAACACACCCCCACACCCAACACCCACACCCAACACAACACAAACAACACAAACACAAACACAACACACACACACACACACACACACACACACACAACACACACACACACACACACACACACAACACACACACACACACACACACACACACACACACAACACACACACACACACACACACCACCACTCTGCTGTCTCTGAGTCCCACCCACAACCAGAATGCAGGACTGAGAATATATAATTTAGTAGACTATATAAATGTGTGTAATCACATTACCAGGTTATAGCTATGATTTAGTGAAATATTTTAGTCAAACAAGATGGCATTGACACGGTTCAGACGTCGTAGAAAACGAAGATGCTTTACATGTCACGTGACCTTCATAGGAGGTCAAAGGTCATGATGGCATAGAGGAAGACCTTTGACATCACCGGGCGCCGAGAGTACCCGGGAACGGATTGACAAGACTCCTCCAAGACTCCAGAGACATCAACTCCTTTTGACCATGTCGTAGCTCAGTCGATTAAGGCAGCATCTGGGATGCTCTCGCACGCAGGTTCGAATCTTCGTCACGGCCCTTGTGGATTTGATCATAGGATGGTGGTACTCTGTTGTCCTGAAGGCCTTCACTTAGCGTGTACACGACCAATTCAAGAGTTAGAGCGAGCAGAGAGCTCTAGTTGAACGCGAGCTCTTTGAGAGGCTCTTTTTCCATTCAGCACGAGACGAGGTCCGGAAGTTTTGTTGGAGGAGAGTCAAGAGGTCGGCAGTGTCCTGTCATTGAGCCAGGAAGTACTGCTGTGTACAAGGGTCTTGTGATAGCACTGTGAAGGACGCGTTTCCTGGTTATTCCTGGATCGGGCAGCAATTGAGCTGCGGTCTGGACAATGTGATGGTGTGCTTATGACGAACTGCACCATTCACGCCACGACTACTGGTCTATCTTGAGGCTATCTTGATATGAATTCGGGGCTTTAGTGTCCCCGCGGCCCGGTCCTCGACCAGGCCTCCACCCCCCAGGAAGCAGCCCATGACAGCTGACTAGCACCCAGGTACCTATTTTACTGCTAGGTAACAGGGGGCATAGGATGAAAGAAACTCTGCCCATTGTTTCTCGCCGGCGCCTGGGATCGAACCCGGGCCCACAGGATCACAAGTCCAGCGTGCTGCCCGCTCGGCCGACCGGCTAGGGAGGGAGTTGTCAGGGGAAAAGCAATAAGCCATTATGACTATATAGCACTGGGAAGGGGTCAGGATAAGGATTTGGGATGGGACGGGGGGAAGGAATGGTGCCCAACCACTTGGACGGTCGGGGATTGAACGCCGACCTGCATGAAGCGAGACCGTCGCTCTACCGTCCAGCCCAAGTGGTTGAGCATTCTTTTCCAGGCGATAAATTAACATCAAGACGATCGTTGGTTATCACAAACGGTAGGACTTGTCCCACCCTTTGAGTTCGACCACTTGTGTGATAGACGGAGCCGGTCGCTGGACTTTTGATCCTGTGGTCCCGGGTTCGATCCCAGGCGCCGGCGAGAAACAATGGGCAGAGTTTCTTTCATCTTATGCCCCCTGTTACCTAGCAGCAAAATAGGTACCTGGTTGTTAGTCAGCTATCACGGGCTGCTTCCTGGGGGTGGAGGCCTGGTCGAGGACCGGGCCGCCGGGACACAAAAGCCCCGAAATCATCTCAAGATAACCTCCCTCCTCGACAAGAAGAGACTAATTTAGCAGAATAAATTTCATTGATTAAATTTTTTAAATTCAGATTCAAATTTAATTCAAATTAAATTCAAATTAAATTCAAATTAAATTCAAATTAAATTCAAATTAAATTCAAATTAAATTAAATTCAAATTAAATTCAAATTTTTTAAAAACAGATTAAATTTCATTGATACCACGTGGTATCAAAAGAACTTTGCACCCAAAATACACGCAAGCAGCAGTGACTGAGGGAAATATTCCCCGTAACTTTATCATAGTCAAGTTAGAAATGAGACACGACTACTACTCCTCTTCCCTCATCTTTATTGAATATAAGTGAGAGCCACGTGGTATCAGAGGTGAGAGCCACGTGGTATCAGAGGTGAGAGCCACGTGGTATCAGAGGTGAGAGCCACGTGGTATCAGAGGTGAGAGCCACGTGGTATCAGAGGCGAGAGCCACGTGGTATCAGAGGTGAGAGCCACGTGGTATCAGAGGTGAGAGCCACGTAGTATCAGAGGTGAGAGCCACGTGGTATCAGAGATGAGAGCCACGTAGGATCAAAGGTGAGGGTTCACCACCACCAACTTGGCTGAACACTCCTAATTACGGGCTATTCATGCCCGTGCCACCTCTTGGGTGGCTTAATCAATCAATCGACACTCTTACAGGGTGATCTTCAGGTATACAAGACAGTCAAGAAGTATTTACATATATTATTATATTAGCATGTATGTTTCAGGTGTGGATGAGGAAGTCTTATTGATGTGGTAATTATAGAGTTTTTTGATACAATTATGTGCTATAATTCTTACTATAACCAATACTACCTTAATGCAGGAATAAGCGAGTTAAAAATGATTATCCTCGGTGTAAAATGTAATTACTGTTGCTAAAATACTTTTGCAACATTGACTATATTGACTTATGCACGACCGACATTCTCAATCATTTTACTGTGTAATTAATTAATATCTACATGAACTAGTGTTGAAGTTAACAACACTACTCAGCTGTATACTTAGCGCTCACAGCTTATTAAGTCGAGTTTATGAATAAACTAAAGTTACGATAAATTTGTTTACAGCGATAACTTATTTAGCTATACGTTACTAGTAAACCAAAGTTTGCACTGTATCTGCAAGCTTTAATATATGCTGTGAAGTTTGGGTGGTCTTAATTGGCTATCTTGGGCTAGTCTTAATTGGCTATCTTGGGCTATACTGTGTCAGACATTACGGTGTGAACCAGGAGGCCTGGTCGACGACCGGGCCGCGGG